GTAGATACAGTGATCCAAGCATTTAAGAAGCTCACAGGGGAAGCTCAGGCACACAAGGAATTCGGCTATCTGCAAAGCTGCATGTGCAGAATTTAAATTTCAGTCATTTAAATGTAAATCTGTGAAGGATCAGCTCAGCATCTAAGTGCTCCTGTGAATGGGAGCTCAGGCAGCTGGATGAAGGCAACAAGGGAGCTCTGGGCCACAAGGACAACTGAAAGGTGCCCTAAAGTTCCTTCCAACTTCCAACTCGTGGCACTGTGTGGTCATACAAGGTCCATCCTGGCTTCTCTGAGGCTTGGTGGGATTCTGACATCCAAATTGTTGCTGCAGGAAACTGCAAGCTCAGCTGAGGGGCCAGCTATAGTCATTATGGACTGTGGGGTCCAAATGCCAGTAGCCTAGTTAAAAAAGATATTTTCTTTTCCTAGGAGCTTGTGCAGAGCTATTTTTTCCCCTTTCTTTGTTCTCCTTGTTAAGAGGGTATTTCTTTTCCTCTTTCTCTGTTTTTTAGATGGCAGTGGTGCTGTGTGAGCTCCTGCAGTGTCAGAGCAGCCCTTTATAATTTGGGCAGATAATGGATCTGCTCTCAGTGTCTGCCCCAGCTCCACCATCAGTTCCTTCAGGGTGTGAGTCACTCTGTGTGCCTGTCTCCATTTCTCCATCCCTGTGGTGGGCAGGACAGCAGTGTCTGTGTCAGGCACGTTGTTCCACCCTGTTGGCAGGCAGATCTGCAGTGCCCATGGCACAGGGCAGGGCTTTGGCTGCAGAGAGAGATTCTTGCTCAGAGGATTTTCCATATGCACTCTGTTCTCCTACTGAAACAGGCTAAATCTTAAAAAAAAACCAAAAACTCTCTCTGTTTGGCAGAAGATTTGCAAGGGACACTCACAGTGACTGGGGTGTCAGGGCAGGCTGCAATCCTGCCTTGGGTTTGGGAGAAGCTCACCAGAGCCAGAGCTGATAGCATGAGCTGGTATTCTCCAGTGAAACAGAGATTATTTTCCTTGGGAGACCCACAGGCTCCTGATCACCCATTGCCTTGCTTCCCCTTCCAGTCACTTTTTAGATTATGTTATTTTACACCATGAGCCACTAAAATGAACACAAGGGACACCCCACTTGATATATTGGTCACTCCAGAGCATCTCCTGGGAAATTCAGGATTTCTGCGTATCCAGCTGGCTGAAGTTCTTCCACCATGACAGCATCTGTGATGGGAAGAAAGCTTTGGAGTACCACTACAAACCCTGCTCTCACCCTTCCTGTGCTGCAAAGTGCAGCTGACAGCTCCCTGATGGCTCTTCATGCACTGCTTTCCACCCTGCCTTATTTCCAGGTTTTTCCAAAGGACTGTGTGGGAACAGCAGTCACTGACAGCATCAGGATGCAGGAATCAAATGGAAAAGTTGCTAATTAGTATCTGGTTATTGCAGTTACATAAATGTCCATTTTCACCTCAAAAAGCCTGCCAGAGGCAGCAGTCACACCTTCCCTGGGCCTGAGAGGTCTCACAGGTACTGGGAGCACCAGAGGACTTGCAGCTCCAACGCCTGAATTTGTGAGACTTAGTAAAACACAAATATTCACCTTGACATAACTGTGACATTTAAGTCTAGCACTGCACTGATTTAAAACCTAAATATTTTCCAGGCACCAGCCCTGAGCCTCCTGGCTGCAGCAGCATAGCACCCTCTCCTTCTGGGTGCATCTTCAGGATGAATTCCTCACTCTAAACCTCCTCTGTTTATACTTCCAAATCAATGTAGCCATGGTTAATATTTATAAATAGCGAGGATTTCTACCCTACTTCAGCATTCATTATAGTTGCAGTGATTCAAACCTCCAGCATAGACAGGAACTGCCTTGAGCTGAAATTGAGCAAGTATCTAATAAAATATAGTCATGAGATGAATAGGAGTTATACAGTTGAAGTGCCTTGAGGATGCTTGAAAGATTTATTTCCTGGCTTCCTCTGGAGGGCTTTTTAGTAGGGAGGCTTGGACTCTGTGTGTGTGTGTATATATATCCATATAAGAGAGAAAAATATTTTAAAATTTTAAGGAGGGGTGGAAGGGACATTTTCAGTTCTTGAGGAGGTGCTACAGAGAAAGCATTCTTTATTTTCTGTGGGCCTCCTGTATTCACAGCTGCTGAATTTCCTGTAAGAAAACAGATGTGAAAGCATCATTCACAGTCTTACAGGGAAATTTGGGGTACATGCAGGGAGACACTCAAAGCTGTAGTGCCTGAAGACTGCACTGCTGTGTGGGATGTGGGTAGAGATTAAGCTCAGATGAGGAAGAGGCTGCTGGAGAGGAGGATTCTGTAGCCAGACTCAGATTAGGGAGAAATAAATAACAATTTAAAAAATATATTATGTAACTTCAGAGCAACATCTCCAGGGCCTGGAAAAGGAGAGCTCAGTAATATTTCATACTCTCATGTCCCTTTGATCTATATGTCTGTTTTACCACACACCTCTTCTGTCTCAGCTGCAACTCCTCCATTGCTCCCAGGATCTTTGCTCCAGGAGCTGGAAGTAGGGGGGAAATCAGGCAAGGAAATTCCTGGGACTCTTCTCAACCTTTCTAGGCTGCATACATAAAGCAGTGACAATTAAAAAACAAGGCAAGTGTCCCATTGCTGCCAGCCAGAAGAGGAGCCATTCCAAAGGGCTCTCTCTGGAACATGGCTCTGATTTTGTTTAGGGGGGATACAGCCTGTCTGACCTCCTTAATCCTCTCTTATCAGCTCTCATTACTTTAAATGTAAGAAATTACATGATACAGCACCTCAGAAGTTTCCATCCACACTCCGAATAACGCTGTAAAGATGTTCCTTAGTCACCCCACAGGATTTTAGGTTCTCTCATCATTTTCTTCCTTTTCTCAAGCCTGCAATGTGCCTCCCTTGGTTACCTGACTTTGAAACTGCTTGTTCCCAGATCATGCTGGCATCAAGATCATCCTGTGACTGTGTTCATGGATGAGGGAAGAGATGAGGATCTGACTCCATGTTTCAGAAGGCTTGATTTATTATTTTATGCTATATCTTATATTAAAACTATACTAAAAGAATAGAAGAGAGGATTTCATCAGAAGGCTAACTAAGAATAGAAAAAGAAGGAATGACAACAAAGGTTTGTGGCTCGGACAGAGAGTCTGAGCCAGCTGACTGTGATTGGCCATTAATTACAAACAGCCACATGAGACCAATCACAGATGCACCTGTTGCATTCCACAGCAGCAGATAATCATTGTTTACATTTTGTTCCTGAGGCCTGTCAGCTTCTCAGGAGAAAAGATCCTAAGGAAAGGATTTTTCATAAAAGATGTCTGTGACATCATCCTTCTTGATGCACATCACCTCAGAGCTGGGCAAGCTGATGGCTGAGTCTACCTCCTTAAAGAACAACTCATCCTATCCTAAGTGACCTGAACAAAATACAAATAATCCTTTCTCTTTCTCTCTCCTCCTCTCTAGGGAAGACAGATCTCAGTTTCCTCCAGCTCTGTAATTTCTGGACAGACACAGGAGTGATCCCACACCTAAATTTACCCCTGCATTCAGACCCACCCCTCATATGCCATGGTAACAGCAGTGTGTATAAAGAGAGCTGCTGAGCCCCCCTCCACTTGAATTCACCTTTTGTCATCTCCCTGGCATGTAAAATACTGTCCTGCATTCATGTGCTGTTCATGTGGGAGTAACCTGGGGCAGTCTGAGCATAGGAAAATCTGTGCATGTAGGAAAAGAAGTGGAACTGCCTTGAGCAAGACAACCTCATTTGACCCTCCTCCTTCCTTTACAGTTGGTGTTTCAGCTGGGACAGGCAGGAATGAGGGGACTGAGGCTAAGGCCAGATGTTGGCATCAGGTACACAGGAGTTTAACAGGTTTTCTCCATGCCTTCCTGCCAGTGCACATTAATCCTGAACCACAGTGCCCTCTGTCATTCCAGCTCTTGATCCTTTGCCTTAATCCTTCTATTTATACCTTCTGAGCTGCAGTCTCTTTCTTATGTGCCAGTTTTACACCAGCGTAAATTCATGGATGCCTGTGGATTTGTTACTGGCTTACTCTCACCCATAAAAACCAGAGAATTAGACCCATCACTTCTAGGTACTAAATGGAGTATCCCCTACCCCTTGGTTTTGTAAATACTCCTTGTATTCCTATTTTTTATCAGTTTGTTCCAACATATCAGCCTGCTGTTGTTTTGGTGCTGTATTCCCAAAATGCACCCCATGATGCTGCTAAAGGGACAGCAGATACCTGCAGCTTCCTCCATGCTGAGTCAGCCTGGGATAGACTCTCCCAGGATTCTGTCCTTGGCACCAGCATCAGCCAGGAGATGTCTATCAGTAGCTTTTTATTTTCTCAGCTTCAGCCGTTATTTTTCTCAGCTGAATGTGGAGGCATTCAGCCTGGCTGATGTAGCCTGTCCTTAGGGCGGTTCAGTGTTCCTCAAAGTTCCATTCAGGAGAGCCAGTTAAAGATTTGGACCTTCCTGTCATCCATAGTGGCCAAATGGAGGAAAATGCCAGGAGTTGTCTTGCCTAGAACTGAAATCTAAAGGCAGCATGGTATGTTCTTAATAAAGGAGTGATTATATGAATCACAGTAGCAAAATGTTCTTGCAGAGCTCATGCCCCACTCCCTGACTGCAGTGTCTGAGGGCAGCTGTCCATCATTCCAGGGAAGGGATTGGCCTGGTACAGGGGTTAGTGAGTGTGCAGCCCCCTGTGTCACAGAGGAGTAGCTGCAATTCCAGAGTCTCTTTTAATGAAGCTTCTTGTGGCTATTTATTGGACGAAAATAAATTCCAACTGGCCCATATAACAAATGAAACTCAACTGCAAAAATGTAATGATATTTATTCACCCAGCTGCCAGCAAACTCACATGCACTATGAGTCATTCCAGATGTGGATAAAAACAAAGTCTGTCTGTGAAAGTAAGTTTCCTGATCCCGAGGAGACTTGGTTTGGGAGAGGAGCTGTGCGCTGACTTCAGCTCCACTCAGAAGAACAGGCAGGTTCTTCTGCAAAGGGGGAGGGGGAGAGGAAAAGCCATCATTTATTCCTGAAAAGAAAGGAGCTGGGAAAATAAAAAAAAAAGCTACTGTACAGCTAGACATACGTATTTTAAAGAGAAGGATGCTTTGGAAGACTCTGGTGCTGCTGCTGTTCTATTGCAGTGCTTATGCCACTGTGACCCACAGATGGAGCAGAGGTAAGATTTCAACCTGAAAAACTATTTAAGGGAAAAATTTCAGTTGTAGATTTGGTCTCAAATTATGTTGCATTATACATATATGTAGATATATATTTTATATATATATATATATACACAATTATAATTTTTTCCTCCAACTCTGGAATTTTTTTTCTCCGTTAAACATGTCAGCTAAAAATATATAGATAAATAAAAAATACACATGAATAAGTGCAAAAAGGTAAAATGATATATGTATTCTGTTATTAAAAATATATATAAAATAGCCCAAGAACTAGAATTACATTCTTGCGCTTTTTCCCTTCTTCTTTCTAACTTTTCTCCTGTATTAACAAAAAAAAAAAATAAATATATAGCTTATGAAACCTTAAAGTGAAAGCCTGTGCAGTCCCAGGTGGCATAATCTGCTCTGGCAGGAAGATACCTGAGAATAGTAAAGCAAAGAATGCCTGGATTGTGCAGGGTGCCTGGGAATACTTCTGTCCTACCCTGGCAGGGGAGCACAGGTGACACAGAGGAGGTGACCTGGTGTCTTATCAGGCTTCAGCTGCCAGTGTCACAATACATAGTTGTGACATATTTGTAATTTTTTAGAGTGTGGCAGCAGCCTATAGAATGTTTGGGGACTGCTGGATGGCACAGGAGATGCATGCCTCAAAGCTAGTGATGATGTCCTTTCCCTTTTTTGGTTTTATTCTCTCCTCTGGTATTTGGCACTGGTTCAGGAGCTGCTGGAAGTGGAGAAAGGAAACACCTCCCAAAAGATTTCTTTGGTTCTGATATTGAGATTCACAGATATTTAAAGGAACCAGAGCCTGCTAAAAAAATAGAGCATTTAAATGTCTCATTCCCTATTCCAGTCTCCTCATCATAGTACCAGTCTGGTACCAGTCCAGTCTGACATTTGGGTTTGGTTTTGACTTTGTAGGAGAGGGAATGGTTGAGGGAATTGATGAAGAGCTAAACAATCCAGCTCAGGCTGAATAATTTTTCTTTACAATGCTTAATTATTCCTTTCAAAAATCCCTGTTAGTGGGAGCTCACTGGCAGGGCTTTGACATGGGGCTCACCATGGCAAAAGTTCTTTCCACAACTTTTTCACCAGACTCTTGGCTGATATTGCATGAGTCATTGTACCTGCATGTACCTCACTTTTCTCTTCTGGCATAAGACTGGAAATAGCACCAATATTTGTCATAAGATCCTGTAATTCTGTAGGTAAAAATTTGTTGTTTCAGGAGTGCCACAAAAATGTGAGAAAATCAGAACTAGATCTGTATATATTAATAAAAAAAAAAAAACCACAGCCCCACCCTTTGGAAGAATGATGTCACATTGCCTAAGAAATGGAAAAAAATTAAGAAAAAGGAGTTCAATTTCATGTAATAATCACTGTTCAATTTAAGGATGTCCTTCACTTTTTGCTAGCACATTCATTTTAATTAAACAACATCACAACCCTAAAAGGAATTAATGCAACTATTAAAGTTCAGTTTTAATCACCATGAATATTTAAAGAAAAACATCAGAACTCTATATTGTGCCTTTTGGGAAAGCAGATTTTTTTTTTTTTTTTTCAAGCTGGAAGCTCTAGCACTTATTTTTGGAGGCTTCAGAGGGAAGAGAAGATTCATTCCCTGTTGTGATAAGGAGTTCAGTTGTCACAAATAGTGTGTGCAGGCATTTTCTGAGGAGAAAACCAGGTTTCTTTTCTACATCTGCTGGGACTACTCTGCTCTAAAGATGTTTTAGAGGCACAAGTCCTTCAGCAGTAACTGAACCTCCACTCCCTTGAACTGTGTGTCAACCCAACCAAATCTACAGTACCTTGAGAGGGTCCAAGCACTGTCTTAATTTTTGAATTGCTTAGAAACCTAGGATAAAATTTGAGTACTGAGCAATGACACATTCTGCTGCACACTCAGAGCTCTTCCCTCCCTCAGCAAATGACAACTGAGTCTTGTTTAAGTAAACTTCAGTCATTTGAGCCTTATCTGAGTCCTGATTTGAGTTTTGCAGTGAAAACCCAAAGACAGATCGGCATCTGGTGTGAGGGAAATGAAAGACAGATCTGTGTGTCGTCTCCATGTTGACTTGTCATCCAGATTGTTTACAAACAGCAGGGCAAAGGCCTTGCTTTAATTGCCAGCAGTTGTTGTTTGCAGCAGAAATGAGCAGTCAATATTGTATACAACGTCTGCATTTGACCATTTTTCCATGGGAAGCACTGGGGCAGCCCTTGTAACCAATCATTCAAGCTTTGGCTCAAGAAGAACTCAGGCCTGAGAAAAGATGAATACACTTGTGCTGACTGGGAACTCCTTTTTCCCTTCGCTTGGAAGCATCAATGGGTGGGGGAAAAAAAGAAAAAAAAAAAAGCATTTCTGGCAGGAAAACAGAGGGCTTTATTCATTCCTTTTTCTTTTTAAACTGCCCTAGCCTTTTGCATTAAAAATCTCACAGACACTTCTCAGCCTGCCTCGACTGAGCTGTGGATACAGGTCCAGAAGTCACAGGCCAAACTCACTCCCTAGGATGGGATGGGTGTGTTTAAAATAACAAAGAAAAGATCCTGAATGATGATGAAATATTTTCTTGTCATCACCTCAAGTTTCCTTGAGCCTTTTGTAGTCTTAGCTGCATGGAAGTATCCTCTCAGATTTTGTGAACCTCCTGTCTAGGGAAAAAAGGTAAAGAAAAAAGGTAATTAAAAGTCTCTACTGAGTAAGTATTATTCCCTATGCAAGGGCAGAGGTGAGATTATATAAATTCTTCAGGTTCCAAATAAGAATTCCAGATTTAAAGAGATGTTTCTTCTGAAGAAACCAAGGAACCAATCCTGGGTTTTAACAACAAAAATAAGCAAAAAAACCCTTCCATGAAGCCATGGCAACCAGTGTCACTGCTTGCTGGTTGCTTCCATCAAACTTTGAGAAGGACCAATCCACTGGAGAGCAGAAGCCAGCCTTATGAGCATTACAAGAGTTGTCTGTTCCCTGAGGAGAAGCCCTAAGGCAATCCTTACTGGCACATCTCAGCTGGCAGGAGTTTATTTGCTGTAAAGCTGCCTGATTCTAATAAATGGGACACACAAACAGTAGCATCCTTGCTGTGTGTTTGCTCAGGGTGGGAAGATGCAGATTTCCTATGGTTGTGGTTTTTGGACAGTGCAGGAGCAGCAGCAAGGGTAAGTTCACCCCTCAGTGGAGGCTGGAAAAGGACATGTTAAAATAAAACATAAAATAAGGTAGAATGCTTTTCACCCATCAGTGGCAAAAGGATATACCAGCACCACAGAGGTCTCATGCTTTTGGGGAGTTTTTGTGCTGTTCCTTACACTCCTCAAAAGCCTCACTACAGTCCCATTAGATCTCTCTGGTCCATGTGCACTATTTTCTACCCAGTCTCCAGTGGCTGGTGAGAGTGAAATGGCTGTTTGAGAGCACCAGGGGAACAGTCTGCTCTCCTTAAAGCTTGTCTACAGAAGGAATTGCTTGCAAGAGCCAAAGGTCCATCCTCTTTAATTTCCCCACAACACTGCAGACTCTCAGTATTTTGTGTGGTGGGAGCTCAGTTTGTGGGTTTGGTGATGGAGCAGCTTCTGCCTGAGCAACTTTGGCCTGGTACTTCTGCTCGTGGGCTTAGCCTGAGCAGGCTGGCAGCTCTGCAGGGCCAGGAGAGGGGAGACTGTGTAGAAGTGTAAAAGAGTAAGAGAGAGTGGCTGTTGCTTATTGTATTTGCATTGCCCCCAGACGAAGGAAGGAATGATGAATCTGACTCCACGTTCTCAGAAGGATACTTGATTATTTTATGGTACTATATTATATTAATGCTATACTAAATTATATTAAAGGATACAGTAAGGATACTTGCAGAATGTTAACAAGAAAATAATGAAAACTCGTGACTCTCTCCAGAGTCCCAACACAGCTTGGCCCCAATTGGCCATTAAGTGAAACAACTCACACCAGAATCCAATGAAACAATCACCTGTGGATAAACAATCTCCAAACACATTCCAGACAAGCAAAACAGAGGAGAAGCAAATGAGATAATTATTGTTTTCATTCTTCTCTGAGGCTTTTCAGCTTCCTAGGAGAAGAATCCTGGGTGAAGGTATTTTTCAGACAATGTGACTGCCACAGTTGCTAGAAAGACAGCCAGTACTTTTGTAAGGAAGCACTGTTTGATATGTTCTAATCTCTGTGGTCATTTGGCTGCTGGTGATCTCTGCTGTGTGTGCAAAGACTGAGTGCCTCAGAAGTTGAGCATGCCCTTTATCCCCACTCCTTTTCATCCTATTTCCCTCTCTTCCCTGCTGCATCTCATATTGCATCCCTACAGCCAGGCACTCCCTGCTTGAGCAGCTTCTGGGATCCCACCACCAACAGTAGCTCTTGGGTGACCTTTTTGGCTTGGAGAGCACAAGCAAAGGGAATGTGGCCCAAACACAGCCTGTAATTGCAACAAAAATGGTCAAACACATACACATTGAGGTACCCAGTGGTCCTTCAGTAAACCAAGTTATGGTCAGTGTTATTGGATATGTGACAAGGTTACATCAGCCAGTCCAGCTACCAGAAATTTTTAGATTGTAATGTCTATCCAACTTCTTTTAATTTCTATAAATTTCTATAAAGACGTTGTTATCCAATTCTTAAAATGCGCAGTGCAAATGAAAGAGACGAAATGCTAAGGAACAGCACCAACTCTGTCTAAGCCTGGCTGTGAAAAGAACATTACTTCTTTTGAGGAGAATGCAATATTTCCCTTTCCTCTGGCTCTTATGTGATCACTTGGAAAACTGCCTCAATTGCCCCAATTTCCCTGCTTGTTGGGTCCATTCCAACAACCTGACTGGAGCTGCAAAAGGTGATTGATCTCCTGCAGGGGTTTTTCCCACCTATCCTGAGTCCGTTCCATGAGTCTGACCAGTTCCTGGCAATGCATGTTTGTGGGCTGGAGTTCCCTCATGCAAATTATTTCTGCACCAATTA